CTCCCCCCCCCATGCTGAAATGCAGAGCCTTGTGGGGCGGGGCGCACCCAGAGGACATAGGGGGACTCCTCGACCCAGGGGACTCAGGGAGGGGCTGGGAGGGAGAGGCAGCTGGGCTGGACTCACAGAGGAAGTCGGATAGCCAGTCTTGCTGGCCGTAGTGTACTATAGCAACACACAAGGTGTTGAGTGCTACCAGACTGAGGACTGTCCAGTAAAAGGCCTGAGTTTTGACCATTCGGCGGATACAGAAACGCATCCTCCTCTCCCTTTTGTGGAAAAAGGTGGAGTTTTCCAGCTTGGCACTTTTGATGCTGGCGCGAGCAAAGGGAGAACCTGCAGAGGGGAGAGAGGGTGGTGAGAGCCGTCCCAGGCATTGTGGCTGGAACAGGCAGGAGATCAGGCTTCCTGACTCCCTGAAACAGCCGACTCCCCCCGCCGCCTGGCTGAGTAACACAGCCCCCAGATCTCCGTGCACTTACCGGGGCCAACCTCCCACCCTCTGCGGGGCAGCAAGGGAAGGCACCTGCACCCGAAGGAAACTGCAGCACGGGGGGGCAGTGCGACCCCCAGGGGCAGAGAGCCCGGGGGCATCTCAGGGCGCTGAGATCCCTGGCTGCACCCAACAGGGGTCGCTGCAGAGAGTCTGGGTCATGCTCAGCCCCATCGTCTTTCCAAGAGGCCCATCTGGAGAGCGTGGGAGGCGGGAGGCTCCAGGTGGCCAAGCCACCCCGGGGAAGAGCCTGCCCTCTGGAGCCGGGCACCCGCCCATGATGCCCATTTTCAGCCGGCGCACGATGCACAATTGCCGCGTCCCGGGCTGGGAACCGCAGAGCCAGCACGGGTCTGGGGGCAGACAATGAGCCCCTTGACTGGCGAGGGCTTGGTCGCAGGACAAAGGGTCTCAGCCAAGCGGGCTGGAGACACTGGGGATGGACTTTGGGGAGCTTGTAGGCAGCGCCGGCCTGCCCGGGCTGCAAGGGCACCGCAGTAGACACAAGTGAATTTTCGTCCTCTGTTTTAAAAACCTATGAATATGTGATCTCTTCGGGTGCGCCTGCGCTGCGCCCTTGCTCCCAAATAGCAGCCGTTATTCCGGAAAAACAATCCCAGTGTCAGCACAGCAACTGCATTATTCCCAAAGAAAATCGAGATGCCGGAGAGCTGTTCCCGACGCTGGCAAACCGCATTCCTCGAGGAATAACGCCTCTGCCGAAGAAGCGCTTTCAGGGGGGATGCGGACACTCCACTACGGCCATGTCGAAACCACCCCTCACCGGGCCATGCTACGTTATTCCTCCCCAATGCTTCCTGGGGCTCTAACTCGAGGGGACCTGCCTCGGCCTAATGGCCTGGCTTCCCTGCAGGGTGGACGCTCTGGTTTGAACGAAGCTATTCCGGAAGCTGTCTCCCGGAGGAGCCTGCAGTGTGGACGTAGCCTCTGAAACCAAAGTATCAAGTGCTGTACTTGTACAACAACCCGTCCTTGCCAAGAAGCGTTTGTTTCACACCGTGAGTATGAAAACACAGCGACCGTGTCAGGGCACCGCCTGGCTCCGCCGCCTGGGAGTGGGTCTGGCAGTAAATCGCCTCAGTAGCCTGGTGGGGGCCAGTCAGCGACCCACCCCCGCTGTCCTGCTCGACATGACCCCCGAAGACGCGGTGTCCCTGAAAAACGAGCAGTGCGTCCGACATGGAAAAGTTGGTAGGAGGCTCTAACGAGCTTGTGAGGGAATGACAGGTACCTGCCAGATTCATACTGTGCATTTGGTGCAGACTGTTACGGATCAAGTGATAGGAAAGGCCCGATCTTCAAACACCTGACTGCTCACGTTAACAAACCCCACTGCCCAGCCGCTGTGCAGTCTAGCGCAATAATGCTCAGTAAGAACCGAAATTCTGGCCTTCGGTGCCATTTTTTAAAGATTGGCCAGATTTATGTTCTTGGCTGTTGGGGACCCACCAGGACAGGTTTCAATAGACAGAGGGCTACCAGCTCTATTGACCGCGGCCTTGCAAACTCCTCATTTCTCTCCGCCCGTGTGTTACGGACTCCCTGGCTCATCACTCGGACGCGCGGCGTCTGAGTTGAACAAACGCTGTTCTCTCTTTGGGTCATTTCGGCAGAACATTTGTCAGAAAATTCACATCCCGGCAGAGAAAAAGGAACCGCCCAGGGCTCAGTGTCCTTGAGTCGGGGTTAATGAGAGGTAGGGAAAAAATCAATAAAACGTGTATTTGGATGTTCACATTGTTCATTTCAAATGCCAAGTAAACGAAGGTAAAATTTCATTCTAGAGTCTCATTCTTGCGTATGCTGAATGTGGGATGCGGATGCCAAGGGCACAGCTCGCGCAGGGCAGGTGTGAGGGATCTCAGGCCGGGGGCTGGATGCGGGCCCTGGCTTGCCTGGATCTGGCCCCCGAGGTTCAGCACTGGGGAGCCTGTGCTGCCACCCACCCGCAGGGCTGGCGCACACAAAGTCTACTAGCCTGGGACCCCCAGGCTCCGGCGTGCCAGGGGAACGTGGGGAGCGTTTTTCTGCCTCTCACTCGGGGCTCCTCACTTTGCTTCTCACTTGTGTGCAGCCCCCAACAGATTTTTCTGTGGGTCTGTGGCCCCCAAACCAAAAAAGGTTCCTGCCCTCGGTCTAGGGGCCCAAACCCCTTGGGCTGGCCCTGCTTGTGGAGGAGTGCCCTGCCAGCTACGGTCAGTCTCTAGAGAGTGCGCTCTGGTTCTGGCTTACACGGAACCGCTTGTCTACGATATCCTCACCCGCCATCCCTTCGACCTCGTCTTGTTTCGCCTGCACAGCACCTGGCGCGTCCCGCGCCTTTGGGACTGGCCGATAGCAGGCCTGGGGCTCAGCGTGTGCCTAGCGCTAACCCGGGCAGACCCAGCACGGGGCCTGGGGGGCTGGGCGCTGCCGCGAGAGGCTTGGACTCCCTCGCAGCAAGGGCAGGCGGGGAGGTGACCCAGGCCTGGGAGTCGTGGCAGCGGTATTGCCCTTCCCAGCCCCCCAGGTGCCTCCCACGCCGAGCACCAGGCTGGGACCTACCCACTGAGATGTCGGGCCGCTGATAGGTCTGTCTTGCTCTTCTTGATGGTGGGTCTCCGCAGCGCTCCAACAATAGGAACATGGCAAGAGAAACGGGCATTATCCTTCGGGTCCCCCAGCTGGACTCCGTCCCTCCTGGGAAGGCCCCGAGCTCTCTGCCCGGCTCCCAGCAGTGCCCCCCAGCCAGGCCCCCGCTGGACTAGGCTGCCCCAGGATTTCTCTGCTCCCTGTCACTTTTGGGCTTGCAGAGAGACGGGCAGTGCTGGTTTGTGCCGAGCCGGGCCCCGGACAACTGCCGCGCGGGCAGCTGCGCCGGGGGAGCCGCTCGGCAGTCAGGGGCACGCGGCTTACCATCAAACGGGAGCCTCGGGTCTTCCTCCGTCTCATCCTCCGCCAGGATCACTTCTTCTGAGGGAAAAGCCGGGAATTAATCTAGGCAACAGCAGGCCCCAAACGCCAGGGAAACCTCCCAAGCTGCGTGGGGAGGGGCTGCTAGAAGGGCTAGAGCAAAGGGCCTCCACACTGCCACGTAGCAGGTAGGGCTGCATGTTGCTACACGGGGGCGGGGCTCCATGCTGCCACGTAGCAGGTAGGGCTCCAAGTTGCTACACGGGGGCGGGGCTCCATGCTGCCACGTAGCAGGTAGGGCTCCAAGTTGCTACACGGGGGCGGGGCTCCATGCTGCCACGTAGCAGGTAGGGCTCCAAGTTGCTACACGGGGGCGGGGCTCCATGCTGCCACGTAGCAGGTAGGGCTCCAAGTTGCTACACGGGGGCGGGGCTCCATGCTGCCACGTAGCAGGTAGGGCTCCAAGTTGCTACACGGGGGCGGGGCTCCATGCTGCCACGTAGCAGGTAGGGCTCCAAGTTGCTACACGGGGGCGGGGCTCCATGCTGCCACGTAGCAGGTAGGGCTCCAAGTTGCTACACGGGGGCGGGGCTCCATGCTGCCACGTAGCAGGTAGGGCTCCAAGTTGCTACACGGGGGCGGGGCTCCATGCTGCCACGTAGCAGGTAGGGCTCCAAGTTGCTACACGGGGGCGGGGCTCCATGCTGCCACGTAGCAGGTAGGGCTCCAAGTTGCTACACGGGGGCGGGGCTCCATGCTGCCACGTAGCAGGTAGGGCTCCAAGTTGCTACACGGGGGCGGGGCTCCATGCTGCCACGTAGCAGGTAGGGCTCCAAGTTGCTACACGGGGGCGGGGCTCCATGCTGCCACGTAGCAGGTAGGGCTCCAAGTTGCTACACGGGGGCGGGGCTCCATGCTGCCACGTAGCAGGTAGGGCTCCAAGTTGCTACACGGGGGCGGGGCTCCATGCTGCCACGTAGCAGGTAGGGCTCCAAGTTGCTACACGGGGGCGGGGCTCCATGCTGCCACGTAGCAGGTAGGGCTCCAAGTTGCTACACGGGGGCGGGGCTCCATGCTGCCACGTAGCAGGTAGGGCTCCAAGTTGCTACACGGGGGCGGGGCTCCATGCTGCCACGTAGCAGGTAGGGCTCCAAGTTGCTACACGGGGGCGGGGCTCCATGCTGCCACGTAGCAGGTAGGGCTCCAAGTTGCTACACGGGGGCGGGGCTCCACGCTGCCACGAGGTGGTCCAGTGCCGAAAGAAGCCCCGTGGGCCTGGCCCCGGGGCATGGAGGAGGAGGTGTGCTGAGGGGAAGCCGACAGGGATGCCACAGGAGAGAGGGAGCAGGGCTGAGGGGGAGAGGCGTGACTGGGATTATGGAAAGTGATGGGGGGTCCACATGCATCCTGCGCCCTCCCGGCTGGCCAGCGACCCCCTCGCCCTGCCTTGGGGGGCTGAGAGGGGACAAGCAGACGCCGGCTCCTGGGAGCTCAGGGCCAGGGGGAATACTCATTTGGAGCCTGCGTGGAGCTCACCAGATTCCAGGGCTCTGCTGAGCGGACAGGGGGGCCGGGCTCGTCAAAAGGGGCCCGAGTTTTCAGGCAGATCCCGGAGCTTCTGATGCCAAATGTGGCCCAGCCCCTGAGATGTGTTAGGTGCCTAACTCCCCTGGATTTCCAAGCGGCTGCAGGAGCCTTGAGGATCCAGGCCACTGAGCCGTGCGGTTGTGTTGGCAGCGGAAAACAAAAGCCCCAGCGGCGGGGTGGGGGACACGGATCCGACACGCAGCTCCCCGCAGGAAAAGGGCTAGGTGGCGGGAAGGGACGGGACGGGCCCGGCTCCCCCAGCACAGTGGAGCTGAGAAGGGAGGGGGCTGCACCCCAGCCCCGCGGGATCCACTCCATGTAGCCATTGAGTTCCCTCTCAATCTGCTGCTGCCGTCTCAGCTTGAGAAACGCCCGCCGGTTCTCCACCCGCTCTCTCTCTTTGGCAAACTCCCTGCGGGCATGGGAGCAAAGGCTCTGCCAGGCGCCCCGCACGCAGCGGAGCTGCTGGGTGTCACGCGGGGGCCCCTCCCGCCCCAGAAACGACCCCAGGCCCAGGTGTGCACGCAGGGCGTGCGTGGGCCCATGCTTGACGGGCCAGGGTGCGTGTGGCGAGGAGCTGTCTGTGCGTCTGTGTAAGGGCTGCATGGCTGTGCCTGTGCAGCTACACGGGCAGAGAATGGTGCACGCACGGCACGTGTACAAGGCACGTGCACCTAGCCATGCGTGCACATGTGCGGATCCACGTGAGAGGCACAACTGTGGATGCAAAGGGTGGGCCGGGGAATCCAACAGCAGCCATGGCAAACCCTCCTGCGCTTGATCTGGCCACTTCCTGGCAGCTGGGTCCTCGGATGTCTCCCTGCAGAGCGCTCAGCCCGTGACAAGGCAGGCTGGTGCCAGGCAGCTGCTGTGCGGGGGGGGGGGGCAAACACTATGGCAGGCCGAGCCTTCCCAAGAGGAGTTGCTGAAGGAGGGCTCAGCATGAGGATGCTCCCGAACACCAGTGTCCTAATCCAAAAGCAACCAGTGATTGGGTCAGGCCTGGCCAGGGTTAACGGAGCTAATGGACCCAGAAGAAAGGGAAAGCTGCTTGCTTACCCAGACAGCACTCCCAGGACAAGGTTAAGAACAAAGAAGGAGCCGATGATGATGAGGGGGATGAAGTACAGCCAGTTCCAAGTGTTCCCTGAGGCATCGTTGCTCTGGGAGAGAAGGGAGCGAGTCAGCCACCCCGGCCAGGGCCCGGCGGCTCCTGGGACCTCCCAGGCCAGCGCCCAGAGCTGAGGTGACATTTCCCCAAAGGACCTGGCCTGGGACCGGCCCCCTCCCACACAGGGCTGGTCCAAGCCACCCTCCTGTGCCGCTCACCCACTGGCCTACCCACTGACCCTAACACAAAAGCGCCATT